AAATTTTTGTTCTAGTAATTACCAAGAGAAACATTTCCCATGGTTTGTTGTTGCTTTTCTTCAAGAAATGTACATTTGATCATTTAGGAGACAGTGACCTTTGAGGATGTGGCTGTGAACTTCACTGTGGAGGAGTGGACTTTGCTTGATCCACCTCAAAAGAGGCTCTACAGAGATGTGATGAAGGAAACTTTTAGGAACATGGCTGCTATAGGTAAAGATTGACATTACTTTCTCGTTTACATAATCAGAGAACATTGTCATTTTTCAGTACAGTTTCATTAAATAGAATATGTGAATATTTTGCAGAATATCTGATTATACCATTATCTCATTGAAATCTATTCATTTTTATGTAATAATTCAATGTCTCCTTATATTTTTTTCTGTAATTCAGGAAGAGTCTTGGGTAGCCAGGAAGTTGAAGAAGAGTACAAAAATTATCAGAGAAATCTAAGGTAATTTGTATTGAAAAAAATTAAAATGTTCTTCAAGATTCTATGAATGAAAAGTAACTAAGATAGGGAGTCACAGTGCTAAAAACTAAAAGGTATCTTTTGTTTTCTTTGCTTAGTATATAGCTGCCCTTAACTTAAAGTGACAAGCTCATGGGTGGTTTAACTTCCTGAAGTGTTGGCTCTGCGTGGACAGCCCCGAGCCCTGGGTGTGTGCTTGGATAGCACGAGACAGCACCCACACCCCTATAGCTGGCCCTCTCTGCACAGCTGTTCCTGCAGACATGGACATGCCCAAGAGGGAGCTGCAGCTGAACTTGATCTCACACACCTCCCACAACCTAAACCCGAAATTGAGCTCTTTCCTTGTGAAGTTCATCAGTGTGGAAGACAAAAAGACACACATCAATGCTATAAAACATTGCTAGGAATAAATGACCCCTCGGTCTAATCAGAGTCTGCTGCATTGAATCTATGAGCGCTTGTTATTATCATTTTAGAAAGAAGATGCTACATATTTACCCTCCAGTGATACCTAAGATGTCTCTTGCTTTCCATCAGCCCAGGCCGCACTTGAGCTCAGGAAGCTTCCATGGAGTCACATTTTGATTGGTTGGATTTCCCAAGCCTTATTGGTTGGATTTCCTTACAGGAAAAGCATGCCCTTATTAAAGAACAGCAAAGTTGAATGAAGTAAATCTCAATCATAAAACTTTACTCATGTTTGGAAATGTGAATTCTACATCTGAGGGCTAGACAGCAGAAATGAGTAATAAAACTCTACTGCAATAAAAAAAAAAAAAAAAGATTCTATGAATGGACAGAAATATCACAGCCAGGGAAACATGACCATATTCAAGTTTACTTAATCTCCACATTTAATCACAAATATTCTCCTTAAAAATATATACTTGTAGTATGTATAATCTCATGACTGAATACAAAAGTGTTTTAATGTAAGAAACTGAGTACTGATGTCATGCAACAAGTAGAACATACAAGTATTGCAAAAGTTCATGATCACCATCGTAACAATGCATGAATTGCATTTAGTATTATGTATAGGTGTATATGCAAAGAAATAGACTTTGAAATCCTTCTTCAGCATATCTGTTTATGTCTACATGTCAGTATGAGACAGTATCTAAAAAATTCCTAGCCTGAAGCAGTTTCAAAATACATATGAATATTAGTGTTGTAATAACACATGTTTTTGAGCCACCCTTCAGAGACGTGAGCAAATTCATGTTTTAAAATTTTTAAGAGTGCCCTCCCACATTGTTGGTATCAATGTTAAGTGTAGCCAGTATAATAATCAGCAGACAGATATCTCAGAAAGTACAAATAGAAGTTTCATTTGATCCAGGAATTCCTTTCCTGGTTATAGTATCAAAAATTTCATATATTGATGTATGCATACACATACTCAAAGCAGAGCAATATATAATAAATGTTCATCATTCTTCATTCATTGCAAATGAATAAAGAAAAATTTTGATTACATTCAGTGTGATTTTTGTTTTATATTCCCAGCACTCTTAGAAGGTGATTCAAAAAGATGGTAAATTGAAGCTCAGCACGAGCAACTTAATCATCAGTGAACGTCTGTCTCAAAATTTAAATAGCTTGATATGTAACTTGGTGCTAAGACCCATGTTTATTTCCCAGCTCTAAAAAGGAAATGAGAAAGCAAAAAATGTGCTATATAATCCCCTATAAAGATGAATGATATGATTTGGCAAAAGAAATGGGTGGGTCTTCATCTTGCAGCATCAAGTTAAATAAGGCAGATGCAGAATGTGAAAGGTCACATATTTTCTCTTATATGAGACAGCAAAAATATAAATTAGGGAGAAAAATAAAACAGGCAATTAAGAGAGGAAAGCCTGACTTTTGTGGAAGACAAACCAGGGTCAGCATAAGGGGAAGGGATGGGAAGATGGCTCAGTAGAATAAGTGCTTGCCTGGCAAGCGCAAAGGCCTGAGTTCAATGCCTGGTTCCACCATTAAAAAGGATAAGGGGAAAAGATAAGAGTGGAACAGTATCAAAATGATCAATATATGATATACATATGTATCAATTGCTCAAAATGAAAGTAAGTCTTCTGTTTTGCAAACTGTATCAATCTTCAAATTCCCAAATGAGGATTGGGAAGATAGCTCAGTGGCGTGGTGCAGCCTGGCAAGTACAAGGTCCTGAGTTCAATTCCTGGTACAACCCCCCCCCCCCCAAATTCCCAAATGAATACTACTTTTGGGCATCACTCATTTGATGGTATGCTCTATGGCATTCAATTAATTCATCATCAGAATGTCTTAGGAAGCATCATATTAGGACTTGGGCTAAATGATTAGTATGAAACCCATTGTATTGCACCTTTTTTTTCTCTACAGAAATGAAGAGGTTAAGAAATGCTATCAAAATAAATGCTGGAATCAATATGAAGAAATATTTCTTTGGACTCCAGATGCCTATATGGATATGAAACAGGCTGGTTTAAAGCCAGATGAAGGCCTTGCTTGTGGAAATCCCTTAACTGGACCTTTGTTCCAAAATGTGCCCATCATAGCTCACACTGAATTGAGGATATCTGAGTATTTGGGATCAGAAGAGGAGCTGTATAAATGTAATGAACATGTAAGGCCTTGTGGTGATTTACAGTCCTTTCAGATGGATGTAAGAACAAAGACTAGAGAAGATCTCCATGAATATGATCAATGTGGGAAATCCTGCACTCACCTTACAGAGATCTTTGTCTGTAACGAAAACTTGAAAGCCTCCAACACACCCAGTGATGGTCACATCCATGAAAGAAGTCTCACTGGGGAGAAACGCTTTGTATGTAAGCAATGTGGGAAAGCTTTTAGTACACAAAATTATTGTAATATACATGAAAAAACTCACAATAGTGAAAAGCCCTATGTATGTAAGC